GATGCACAGGTGTTGGTTCTGTTTCAACTTTATATTTAATCTTTGACATCAAGGAATTCTTCAGAGATCAAAGTTAGAGCCTCCCTGTTCCTTTTATCATAAACCTCTCTGTGCTTCAATTCCATTGTCATTACCATTCCTCTCTTCTTTTTCCCTTTCACTCCTAAAATAACCTGTTTTCCATAGACTGAGGATTTCTTTTCTTTGTGCTAACATTCCTAATGAGTCACTATCTTTTTGCTTCCAGAATATATACATAACACCATCCCAAAGAAATCTGATGTCTGAGAAGGAATTGGAATCTTAACTTTTCCTATGCTGCCCTTTTCAGAACTGTTAAGATGTTACTTTTCAATATTTCATAATGGGTGAAATATTGGACAAAGCAAGGACAAAACAGGCAGGTTGCAAATGGCAACCTTTGGTGATGGGAACAGTGCAGCTGCTGTTGGCAACATGTAAGTGATATCCTTGACAGAGCTACTGTAATACAGAAACATATTATAATAAATTCCAAATATTTTTAACATGAATATAACCAGAAATGAGTCCAAATAAAACATTTCACAACTTGATGTTATAAAAAATGGCACATTTGCAGGAACAAATGGTAAAGAGTTCAGTTTGAAGCATGCACTGGGAATAATTCAAGTTAGAATTAATATTCTGTTGACCACTATTGTCTTCTCCGTGGAAGAAAAGGTAATGCCAAATGCAGTCACTACCTCATGTGGTTTTATGAAACATTTTCATCAATTTATGAGGAAGCTTGGGGCAAGATCTTACTCCAGCTATTAGGCACCAAAGTCCACTTTGGTACTTATGGATGATCCCATTCCACTCTCTTCTAAGTTCCTGAATATCTGTTAATGCATCTATTTTTGTAGTACACTACCATCTTAGCCTTACAACTAAGTCACAAAGGGCATTTATACACTTTTTTCCTGCGATGTGCTGGAGATCTGCCGCTTCAGAGCAGACTTGACTAATCGAGTCTGCTCCACACACGGGCTGAGGTGAACTGCACTGTGCCACGTTCAGTTGTATAAGTGGCAAAATGCACATCAGTGCGCAGAAAATGGTGGCGGTGCACTTTTGAACTAAAGGACCTCCGAGGTGTTTTAGTTCAATAACATCTCACTGCCATTTTCTCAGTGCTGACATGCATTTCATATGCAATTGTATAAGTGGCGTCTCAGCACCAGGTGCTTTTCAAACCGCCTGGCACTGTGACGCTTGCATGTGTAAAAATGCCCAAAAAGGCAGCAAAAGTGAGGAGGACCCACACACCTGTATTAGCAGTTTCCAGAGACTCAGGCAGGATAGAAGAAGATTTCATTTCAGTAGCACAGGACCTGGATATTTGATCCTAAGGTACAGCAGAAAAGGAATGTGGAAGGCCAAGTAAGTGGTGCTTAGTAAATGCTGATCAAAAATTATTTTGTTGGCTCTCCTTGTTGTCATTTTGAAGGCTAGCCACCCATGCATTCTTCAGAAAATACATATGTATCTGGCCCATATCCAAAAGAGGATACCACTGTGGTTTGGTGGAAGGTGGAAAGGGAGTGCTACACAGAAATGCAGGAGCAACTCTGCTGTCATCTTAAAAGTTAGCTTGCTCTGTCCCAAGCAAAAGTTAGCTTGCTTTGTTAGCTTGCTAAACCCTGCCCCTTCCCGCTACATAACATAGGCAAAAAGGAAAAGAGGCATAACTCAGAATGGTAAACAATTATGTTGGTTGACAACATACTCATGATCTATAGTCTGTATGCCACAGTGACCTGATACAGAAGCCTATGGATCAAGGAATACTACGTGAAAAGATGATGATGTGAAATAAGGGATAAATGTACTTTTAATGTCAGTAAAAAAACTGTAGACTGAAAAATGCTTGAGACATATCGATAGATCAGGTACCTCAAGAAGAGAGAATATTCAGAACTAAGAGCAAAGTGGGTGGCGTGAAGCCCAGGAACTGGTATAAGGGTTGATATGGCTCAGAGCATGAGACCCAGAGTGAGAGAGAGGGCACATGGCCAGAGGCATTTCACCCACCTCAAATGGCCTGGTCAAGGCCAGGGTTCATAGGGAGCCGAAGGGCAGTTGCCTACTTGAAAGGGGTAGGCCAAAGCCGTGGAGGGCCTGGCACCCCAACTGGCCCAACCTGAGGCCAGGACCATGAAGGTCATGAGGCCCTGACTTACTGAGGACCACAGAGAAGAGGTGGAGGCCAGGGCCATCTCAGCCCATTTGAAGGGGGCTAGGGGAGCCTCCTGAACATAGAGCTGTAAGGAGCTGGGCATAAGATTGAACTGGGGCCACAGTGAGCTTGAGAGAGATCTGCGACTAGAGCAGGGAAGAGCCTCCTGGAAGGGAGAAGGTATACCCAAGGGAAAGCTAGGAACAGCTCAGAGGCAAGGCAGGGTGGCCTGCCACAGGGGTCCTGGGTAAGACCTGAAACTTTACCCTGCTCTGGTTGGATGGTGTGGTGGGACTGCCTGGGGCAGGACAGCCTCCAGAAAATGCCACACCTGTGCCTCCCTAGAGAAAGTTGAGGATGGGGCGCTGGAAAGCATCAGGCCCCACTGCCTTGTGTGTACCCCATTGAGGGGAAAGGCTAAGGGAGCACACCCTGAAAGAAAAGCAAAGAGGCCTGGGAAGACCACGGGGGCCAGGAGGGAGAAGAAGAGAGCCTGAGCAAGTATGCTGGGCTATTGAAAGAGGTCCGAGCCATCAGGGCCAGGCTAGCAAGCAGAAGAACAGTATTGAGCAGAAGGACCAGGCTATCTAAGATAAGACAGGCCCAAGCAGACAAGGCCAGGTCCTTGAGAGTGTGGAGAGGGCCTGAGCAGGGAGTCCAGGCTGGCTGCAGAGAGCAGGGAGGAGGAGGGGAGAGAAGTGCTAAGTGAGCCAGTGAGCCTGCTGAGCCACCCAGCGCAGAGCTCTCTCAGCAACAAGTGGGCGGGGCTTTGGCAGAGAAGCCCTGGAGAGCTGCAAGAACAGTGCCAGCAAGCCACAGTTTGGCCACCACTGGGATATGCCAACAGGCCAACATGAGCATAGAAGGCCTGTACAGGGCCTGGGTGGAGAACTAGAGGTCAGTAGGAGGAGACAGGACCCATATAGTGTCTGAACAGATAGTAGCAAGCCACCTTGAGCAGAGAGAGCCTGCACATGACTTTAACAGAGGCCCACAGGCCAGCATGTGTATAAAAGGCCTGCACTGGGCCTGAGCATAGACAACAGGCCTGCATGAGGGGAGAAGGCCTACTCAGAGTCTGATTGTATACCAACTGGCCACCAGGAGTGTAGAGGACCTGCACAGGGCCTGAGCTGGTAACCATGGGCCGGCTTGAATGGAGGGCCTGTATAGGGCCTGAACAGGGAAGAGCAGACCAGCAAGAACAGAGGAGACCTGCACAGGACCTGACTATACAGTAATAGGCCAACAGGAGGGTGGCAAGCCTGCACAGGGCCTGGCCTGGTAATAATAGGCCAGCCTCAGTGGAAAGGGCCTGCACAGGGCCTAAGTGTTTAGCCACAAGCCATACCAGATGTGTCCAAGTGATAATGGAATAGGATGAGTTAGCAATAACAAGCCAGACCTGATGAAACTAAGTGGTAAGAAAACAGGGCAAGTTAGAGGTTCAGGAAGTTATGAGCTGAGGTGGAACTCAGCTCAGATGGTAAACAAGTGGTATACTAGTACTGGACAGGACTATAATAGTGTCATCTGTGAGGCATGGGGCACAGTGTAGGGAAGGTTGGAGCCATGGGTAGTGGCCCATAAGGACAAGGCCACCAAAACAACATACATCACAAAGATTATGGCAGCCTCCTGTAATCCAAATACATAATATTATAACAAAGGCATGGTGGGCAAGTGTAGGCAGAAGGCCCAGACGGGGGGTGGGGAATGGGGGAACCAACATTTTTTATTGGTAGATGTCCTGACCCCCGCATCACAATAACAAAAAGGAAGGTAGAAATCAAGCATGACTCAGCTTGAATTTGCAAAGCTGGAAGTTAGGAATGTTTTCCTGTTACTTGCAAGGACATTCAAAACAAAAATCACTGAGAGGCAATAAATATGATACTGCACCATGCCATTTTTACAGGGTTATTTTTTCAGTCAGTACCATGTCTTGCAGACTTTAGGGAATAGTGGTAGTTATTGAGCCTCCCTGAGTCTTCCCTTAGTGGTAGGAATCACTGCTCCTTACATCTTTCACCGAGGTTCCATCCACTACATTGCCAAAGAGAAAACCACTTCAAATCTAAAGGTACCAAAAAGACTTGTAGGCATAGCCAGAAAATCCATGGGTGAAAAGAATAAAATACACCTTTGTTAGACTAAATAAAGTGCAAAGAAATGAACTGCAATAGCCTCACTGTGGTAATGGTAACTGCAGAAATTGAATTCTTAACCACCCGAGGCCTTGTACAGCGCCACACTACCCACTGTACAACAGCATTAGATTTCAGAATGCTGCATGTTGCTATAAATGCTGTGGCTGCTACATATGTTAGTTCATAGAATAAGTATCTCCATTCTTGTGCAAGATACAGTTCCATTCTTCCAACAGAGTGTATCTTCTAATCTCTATCGTATCTCAGCAATTTCATTTGATCAAGTTATCATGCCACAAGGGAAAAAATATTCTAGCATGTTTTTCGGATATCTGAAAATTAAGGAACATGATGGAAATGTTATTCACACAATCTTTTAAAAATCATTACTGGGGCAGAAGTGAATAACAGTTAAAGAATACACGAATAGAATCTGAAAATGTTTAATGAATCAAAGACTAGCAATGTAGGTGTACTTTAGTGGCTGAGATGCTCATAAGTCTGCGTTATTATTATTTCAACAGTTTTCTTTTTTCTTTCTATCAGCAGGGAAATAATTTATCATGTTGCCATGATGGTCAGGCAATCACAGGATAAGTGCATCTTTTGTGAAAGGACAATCAGTGTAATCCGTGTCTTAAATATTTCAGGAAGTAATCAAACCCACACCATATACTGGGGAGGAAATAGACAGAAATGAATGTGTGCCATGGAAACTAGAAGTGAAATTTCAGAAGGCAAGAAGGATTTTTAAATTGATAAGAGTTATTTGGAAAAAGAGCTATCACTCCTCAGAAACTTGTTACTGTCGGCAATTGGTTAACATAACTGTACTCACTGTTTCACTTTTACTCAAGTACATTTTATATTCTAACGTAATATTAATAAATATAATTAGTTAATGCCAATTGTCTTATTAATTAATATTAAGCCACTTCACTATAGAAAAGCTGGAAGATAATGTCAGATAGAAAATAAATCAAATTCTAGTAAGTTTGCATTTCTATGATGAATGCTTTGAACATGTTATTAATGTAGAATTAAAAGAATGACCAGGTTGTTATTGTAAAATGAAAACAGGCCAGATCCTAAATTCTTATAACAGCATAATGCCTTTCAGGTCAGCTGAGCCACACTAGTTCACCAGAGCTCATTTCTAAATGGACCAGAGTAAGCTGTTCCATAGTTTGCAGATTGATTGGGGTCCTCTCTCTAAAAGAAATCAGTCCTGAGGCCTAAGGATTTTGTGAAATCGGAATACCCAGATGGGAATCCTAGTTAAGCTAAACTCCTGAGAATTTCTTTTCATGAGCTACAGCACTTTCAGACCTTTGTAAAAGTGCCATAGCCCAAGTCTGGGGCTATATCTTGCAACACTGATTCTTGAAATTGTTTCCTGAAGGTAAGGAAATCCTCATATTTGTGAGAATTTTTTGTTCTGTGGTTTCACACCCCTGAAGAGATAATTGGGTTTCCTAGACTTTATCAGCACCTTTGAGAGCTCCTGATTAGACAGATCGCCGACACAGAAGATGATGTGACCTGGTGAACAAGGAAAAGAATGATTAAGCTTAACCCACCAGAGACTGAGATAATGTCATTTTTCCTGTTTTTTTCTCTCTCTTCTCTTTCATTTATCTGTTTGTTTGACTTTGTTGCAGAATTAATTCCTGCAATTGTATTGTATGGTTTGAATGAAGGAATGTTTATTCTAATTAAATAGTGAAAGGATTAAATGTTTTTAAATCTCCCCCCAACCCCTGCACAAATGAAGCACGGTCGCAACATCAAATAAAAATGCTGTATTTGGAGTGATTTAAATCCCCTATTCTGTATGTGCAACAAAAGGGCAGCCAGGCAATGCACAATTTGAATGGAACAGACACTGCTCCGTGGCACAAAGCATCTGTGGTATGCTTTGGAGCTGCAGGTGAGGGACTACTTCTGACCAGGAAGGGATAAGCAGCAGCACCACTTGTATAATCTACCAAAAGGACAGTCACAGATACTGGTCAGCCTGACAAGCCTGAAAGCCAGGTGACCCCTCAGTGAATTCCGTAGGATAAGCTTTTCTTTGCTTGACAGACAGCTGGGAAGAGACTTAAAGTCTCAAGATGGTCTTCTGGCATAGACCATTTGGAATAGATAAATGCAGAACAGATCACTTTAAACCATTCCTCATTCTCCTGTCAAACAGGGCACCCCCCTCAAGGCCCAGAAGTTATTTAAAAAATAAGCTAAGGAAGTACAGGTTGGATGAATGGACTGTAAGTTGGACAGAAAACTGGCTGGATCATCAGCTGAAAGGGTAGTAATCAATAACTTGATTTCTAGTTGCCAGCTGGTATTAAGTGGAGTGGCCCAGGGGTCGTTCCTGGAGCCAGTTTTGTTCAATATCTTCATCAGTGACCTGCAAGGTAGAATGAAGTGCAACTCAGCAAGTTTGCAGATCATACCAAGCTGGGAGGAGTAGTAGATATGCTGGAGGGTAGAGCTGGGTTCAGCTAGGCCTCAACAAACTGGAGGATTGGACCTAAAGAAATCTCATGAGGTTAAATAAGGATGAGTGCAAAGTCCTGCACTTAGGGCAGAACAATCCCATGCACTAGTACAGGCCGGGGACTGAATGGCTAAGCAGCAGCTCTTCAGAAAAGGACCTGCGGGTTACAGCATACAATAAACTGATTATGAGCCCCCAGTGTGCCCTTGCTGCATAGAATGAAAATGGCATACTGGTCTGCATTAATAGAAGTATTGCCCACACGTGTAGAAAAGTGATTATTCCCCTCTATTTGGCACTGCTGAGGCCACCTCTGGAGTACTATGTCCAGTTCCCCCCTCCCCACCCGCTACAGAAAAGATTTAGACAAATTGGAAAGAGTCCAGCAAAGGATAATGAAAATGGTTTCATAGATTTCATAGACGTTAGGGCTAGAAGGGACCTTGGAAGATTAAGTCCAGCCCCCTGCCCTAGGGGCAGAAAGTCAGCTGCGGTCATAGGATCCCAGCAAAATAAACATCCAATTGACTCTTGAAGGAATCCAGAGTAGGTGCTTGCACCACCTCGGGCAGCAGTCTGTTCCAAGTCTTGGAAGCTCGGACTGTAAAGACTGGTTAGGGGGCTGGGGAATATGACTTACAGGAGAGGCTAAGGGAACTGGCCTTATTTAGTCTGCCGAAGAGAAGACCGAGGGGGAGCTTAATAGCAGCCTTCAACTACCTGAAGGGGGGGCTCCAAAGAAGATGGGGCTACACTGTTCTCACTGGTGGCAGATGATAGAAAAAGGAGCAACAGTCTCAAGTTGCAGCAAGGGAAGGTTTGGTTAGAGATAAAGGAAAAAACAGTCTCTCACTAGGACAGCAGTAAAGCACTGGAACAGGTTACCCAGAGAGGTTGTGGAATCTCCATCCTTGGAGGTTTTTAACACACAGTTAGACAAAACCTTGGCTGGGATGACATAGGTGGGGATGGTATTGCTTTGAGCAGGGGGTTGGACTAGATGACTTCCTGAGCTCACTTTCAACACTAATTTTCTATGATTTTATTTGAGCCGTCAATCTCAATAATGCTTGGGCCTGAATAGAAACGGGTAAAGTTTGGGATCTATACTAGGCCCCATGATTGGGCTGAAGCAATATTGGATCAAGCACAACACGTCTATCAGTTCTCAGCCTCCAAAGTCGTTCCATGCCTTACTCCCAAAGTCATTTTTCCCCCTTTCTCTTCCCCACATTTCTCTTGAAATTCCCTTGCAAAATAGGCAAGCCATAGAAAGGACTGCCTAGTCCCATGTGCAGTCAGTACTAGAGTGATCTATTTTAGGTTATTTCTTTTTAATAAATGCAACACTTTTAATCAAATTTGTTCAGAGGATAGAAGATTAGTTAAGAAGAGAGGTAACTGTGACATTAGATTAAGGTATCATTGGGAATTAAAAATGTAATTTTGTGTTATCATCACAGGTATATTATGAATAAAGAATATGCAATATGAAATGAATATGCAGCACAATATGAGCAGCATTAGAGAAAAATGAATCTGATATATAGGACAGAAAGGTCATGAATTCTTAAACCCAATTCAATTTTGCTTTGCTCTGTTCATTTTTTTGTCCTCACAGAAAAGTCAGTTGAAGTATTCGAGGTGTGAGAAAGGTCAATAACTAAGTTCCATCATGCACCAAGATCACCTTGCAACAAAAGAAGGTGAAGGAGCAAATTTACAGTCATAGAACAAGGCCCTTAATCTCCAACTTCTGTGTGGGCAGACTGAGAAAGCAAATGGGACACTCAAACAGCAGCATGCCTGTGTGTAACAAGCAGGAGGATCACACTTAATGGATCAATGTACCAGGTTAAAGATAACATTTTAAATACATTAAAAAAAAGTCTTGGTGGTGTTTTCATAGTTTATTTTAAGGGTGAGAATTTCTTATTTGACTCAATAATGTCAGATATTTTACATGGACTTTCCTTTGGTAATATCCAGTCTCACAGCCACCACTTGAAAAACAAATAGGAAACTTGGGTACTTTTGAAAAACAATTAACAAAACAGCAACAGCTAACTAACAAAAATATATTAAATTATCAATGATACTCACTAAAATTACCAGCCTCTGCAGTTATAGAAATTGCTCCCTCATTGTACATGATCAGTCTTCTCTAGTTCTGATTCCATTGTATTAATCAGGTACAAAGTGTTTCATTTTCATACAGCCTTATCGTTGTGCAATACTTACATCACCCAAGTGTCCAGTCTGACTCCTATTCAGCAGTGAAAAGTTCCAAATGACTAGAACCACAGAAAGTTAAATTTCTACATGAATTCTTAACTTTATAACATTTGTTTGAAAGTGTTTATAATAAACGTTCGTCCATAATAACTTTCCATGATAAGTGCCTTTTGACAATACATGGGCTTCAGAAGGGTGAAGTTGATTGTTTGTATGAAACAAATTTAAGGATCAGGATCTACTGTTTCAAAAAAAAGCTCAGCATCTTGTGGTGTGTTGATTGAGTGGTCTTTTCCCCAGTCCTCTATTCTTTTTCCAAGTGTTTGTTAAATGCACCACACTTATGCTCCACAATATAAATCTAAATTGTTTTTATGAGTATTTTGTCTACTAAATTCATGAGCCAACTAAGAGCCCATCAGTTTCATGAGGCTCATGACAAATTCATTAGTTTGACAAGACTACTGATACTATGCATCTGTTACGTTTCAAGAAGATTTTTAATGGCTCGAAATAATCAATGTTACCTTTGTCCTTTCATGAAACTAACAATTCTTCATCAGGTTTATGACAGGATTCATTTTATTTATCCACTATAAATTAGGTATTTTCACTATTATATCTTCTGCTTATTCCAACCCAGGCAATCCATTACTGCTTCTCCTCTAAGAGCAGCTACTCATTCCCACTTAAAATGTATTCATTTGGATGCATGCGTTTGACAGAAAGGTTTCCAAAGTAAGCAATTATGATGACCTAGTCTGACCTCCTGCTTTACACAGGGCACAGGATTTTCACTCAATAATTTCTATATCAAACCCTATAACTTCTGATGATAGGGCATACCTTTGAGCAAGCTGTACAGTCTTGATTTAAGTATTTCACACAAGAGAGAATTCCTTTACTAAGTCATTTGAATTCACTAGCATCTTTTATCAGAAATCTCCTCACCTTGTTGGTATTTATAGAATTTAAAAATCATAGAAAAATTAGGGTTGGAAGGGAACTCAGGGGGTCAGATCTAGTCCAACCCCCTGCTCAAACTAGGACCATCCCCAACTAGATCATCCCAGACAAAGCTTTGTCTACACAGGTCTTGAAAACCCCCACCATCACTCTGGATAACCTGTTCCAGTGTTTTACTACCTTCCTAGTGAGAATATTCTTCCTAATATCCAACCTAAACTTCCCTTGCTGCAACTTGAGACTGTTGCTCCTTGTTCTGTTGTCTGCCGCCACCGAGAACAGTCCAGCTCCATCCACTTTTGAACCCCCTGCAGGTAGTTGAAGGATGGTATTAAATCCCCTCTCAGTCTCCTCTTCTCTAGCCTAAATAAACCCAATTTCCTCAGCCTATCCTCATAAGTCACGTGCCCCAGCCCCCTACCATTTTTGCTGCCCTCCGCTGCACTCTCTCCAATTTGCACGTCAAGTAACTTGGGATTAACTTTAGTCTCAAATTAGTCCACATACTGAGTTAATGTGCCTTAGTGTGTGCGCGTGTAGACATGCACCTAAACTGCCTTAATGTGCATTAGGCAGGCATATGCATACTAAGTTGAGGCACGCATAAAAGCACATGTAGACACGTCCACTACGAGGCAGACTTTCCAGATTTGAATAATTTTTGTGGCTTTTACAGAAACCTATTCCAATGTTTCAGTGTGTGTATGTGCATGCTGTATGTATGTGTGTATATGGACGACTGCCTTATTAAGTAGAAATTATTAAAAGAGAAATAACTAGATCCTATTGATTGGAACAAACAATGAAAACTGAAAATGACTATCCTGATATATGATCTTTGCAATACAGTGGTTCTTAGCAAAACAATACAAAATATTATGGAAGTTGCTTTACACTTTGAAAGAAGGCTATTTTGAAAGCAGTGGTATTGGCATCAACTGTCAAATCTGGTAATCTGCCCTTCATAATGTGTCCTCAGTCTAACAATCTCTGTTCTGTCATGTATTAATTTGCATGCTTTAAGAAAATATTCTGTCAACTCTGCTGTATTGAATTTAAGTTTCCTTCTACAGCTTTTATATCTAGTCCATAGTAAAAACCTCTTATAACCTCT